GCTTCACATATTATTTACTTATGTTCCATTTCCGCGGCATTTCACAAACATGTTAAGCCTTAACAGTTACACACGGTTATTAACAGCACTGCAGCTGCGCACTTCAGAGCGACGCTCTCTTAAATGTTAACGCTCTGTTAGGCGAACAGTCCGATCCGTTCATGTGTTCCAATGCCAAAGCGTTCCCAAATAAATAATGTAGTGCACTAGGTGAATGGTTGCAGGGCTTTTGCACATTTCGGCACATAATATATATATATGTGTGTGTGTGTGTGTGTGTTTGTGGACTTCCTACTGGTGTCGCCTGGAATGGGCCCAAGGCGCCCGCCCTGCGTGTCCTGGCATCGTTTGCAGCTCAAGTAGTCCCCGAAAATATGTGTGTTTTTGGGGGCCTGGGCACCTGATAAGAACCTGTTGAAAGTGCGCCGAGTGCAGCGTTGATTTATTAGTTTTTGGGGAGGCCGACGGACAATATTTTAATTAAAATCTTTCATCTTTCGATCGAGCCACCCGACACAGACACAAGTTTCTCCAGCAGCCGCATCCACACCCACGCCTGCATTCGCAGCCGCCCCTCTGCTGTCGTGCTCCCTGAAGTAATTTTGTAAGAGCCGACCGAAATATTGGCAGCAAATGCAGACACCTAATAAAAGTTTTGCGACAAGCAGCAAACTCAAGTGTAACGAAAACAAAAACAATAATTTTCGAGTTTATTTGAGAGGAGGCGGCGAACCGGCGGCTGCCAGCTACAGTACGTACCTGTGTCCTGTGGCCGCCAGCAGCTGCTCAAGGACACGCCCACTCGGAGTCAGTCAGTGGGACATTTGCAGTTTTCCCATTTGCTGTCCTTGTTGCTTTAGCTGTTGGAAAACTATTTGCCATCTCGACAATTTCTTGCACGTGCTGAGCATTCGCAAAGCGAAGTGTTTTCTCCTCTGTAGCCCTAAGGGGGTTGGTGGGAGGGGGGTGGGGGGGCGGCAGGACCCTGTGACAGGTACAATATTTCAATAAAATACATTTACGCAACATAAAGTAGGTGGCAAAACTTTTGATGATTTCATATATTTGTAGATCCATTCAAATATATACATGAAATATATTTGGCCGATGCTTTGACTTTGCCATTTGCCCTTTTTCCAATTTAGTCCCTTTTCACTTGTCTGGCGGCATTTTCCACTTTGCTCGGTTGACTGCACATTTCTGGGCAACAGCAATTAATAACAATTAGAAGAGGCGCCGCGACAACCCCAACTAATTGCGTATAATATATGTGTATAGATAGGTTGTCTGTGTGTCTGCCTGTGTCTGTGTGTGTGTGTGTGCCAACTATTTCTTGCACATTGTCGAATAATTTATGCCAAAAGCGTAATTAAATTAATTAGGATTAACTTTGGCGGCGCACGCATTAAACTAGCTTTGATTAGCTTATGCTCTCACACACACACACAAAGCGACTAAGACATGCACAAATCCATATATTTATGCCTATCTGCAGCTGTGTGTGTGTGTGTGTGTGTGTGTGTGGCAGCACATGTGGCATGCTGTTTAATCTAAATGCTGGCTTTTGGGTCGCCTCGCTAATCATAAAGATGGCATAAGCGATGAGCCTGCTCCTCAGCTCTGCGCCAGCTGCTCGGTCTGCCAATTTGGCAAAGATCTCAACACGAGCCCAAAATGCTTTAACTCACAATTTTGTTGCCATTTTTTTTTTTTTTGGGGCGTTGCTTTAATGTGGATGGGGAGTAGCCCCATGCATTACCAGAAATTGGTTTTATGTTTTTTGCGAGGCAAGCTCGCTTAAAGATTAATAGCTTAGCCATGTGTTTGAGTTAGTAAAAATTGTTTAATATCAATTATTAACTTATCTTTTCAATAGCTCTGGGTAAATGGTCTTCGACTAAGAAGCCAATACATGCGGCCACACACGAGCCTGGACCTTAAACCCGACTCCAGCTTTTTTGGCCTACAAAATAACTCAGGCATGTAAGTCATTTTTATTTTATTTTCATATACTATACTTCTAGACATTTCTTTATTACTCTACTTAAAAGTAATGTTTAAACATAAAGTTTAAAAAAATTTAAAAATTTATTCGTACCCAGGCTAAATACTTTAATCATTATAATAAATGCCTGCTTTGTTTTACGAGTAAATGCCAGTTAATGTATTTAATATTATAAAAATTAATATTAAATACTTTATTCGGCTTGTTTGTTGTATTTTTTTCGAAATAGTTTTGAACAATACAAAAACTGTCGCATTGTCACGTAAAATAATTGTTCTGGGCTTAAAAACACTAATCCGATTAAAACATCCGATTGTGCTAAAATTTCATTTATTGAATTGCAACCAACTTTGGCTTAAGCCTGGCAATAATGGGCTCGGGACTTGAGTTAACGAATCCTAGGGTATACCTAGTAAATACCCTGTACTCTACGGTTTCAATACGGTACCTGAACTCCAATTCGAAATGAATTAAATGTAATAATTATATTAAAAATTTACGAAAAATTATGATAATATAAATAATATAATAATAATATTAAAAATAAATATTAATAATAATCAAAAATGATAATAATATAATAACAATAATAATATAAAATAAAAAACTAACAATTAAAATAGCTAATACTAATAATAAATAATAATAATAAAAAATATTATAAAATGTTGGTTGAGCTTTTAATCAAAGGTATATATACAATTTTGATAGGGTTCTTCAAAGGATAATCTTATCAATATTATGACTCAGTTTGCAATTATAATAATATTAATAAGTTTCTCTGGCTCTTTGCCTTAATCCCTATTCAAAAGACAATATTTTTGATTTATTGAGCCTAACTAAGAATTATGATTATCGTCGCTCATCAGCCAGCTCTTGAGTTAATTATCATTTGAATTGTGTGGCCAGCACAATTGTTGTTTGTTTTCTGTTGTCAAAAGTGGCCAACGTCAAAATGTCCTTTTGTGGCTGCCCAGTTTGGCCAGTTGGCCGAGTCTGGCCGGTCTGTCTGGCTGCTGTCTAATTTATGTTGCGAATAAATGTGTCGCAAATCATTACGCGGAACATTTTTCTATGCGTTTTTTCCTTTCTCGCAGTGTATGCCAAGAGTGTCGGGCGCTTTATTTAATGGCTTGGAAATGAAAAAAAAAAAGGAAGAGCAAGAGAGTCGCAAACCAACACGGAAACAATGACAACCACAAGAGCAACAGAATCTGGAGTAGAATTGGGAGCAGCAACTGGAGCAGGTTCAACAATGGCCCACAGGGGCTTCACTTGAACGGAACCATCTAAATATAGACACAAATCACACAAAACTTCAGAAGCGAAAGACAAAAGCAGAGTTTCTGCTCTTGTTGTTGTTGTGGTTGTTGTTGCGGTGGCTGGGAATGAGCATATTAAATCAAAAGTGGAGCAACTGAGAGTCGCCTTTTGCATAGAGCAAAAGTTGAGTGGAGCCATACAGCAGGATTCAGTGTTCACGATTCAGGATTAAAGGCGTCGGTAGCAAGGACGATGTTGAAAACGACGTGAACGTTTAACGCCTGCAGGATATTTATGATCATGAATTTTCTTATTGTGCCTGGACTCTGGCCCAATGCCCTACGCTCCCTAGGACCTGGCTGTGTCTGTGCGTGGCTATACTGGCTGGAGCTTGAGTTTCAGGACTCGGCTGCTTGTAAACGATTTATTAAAATGTGCAGCAACACGAAAACTGAAAGGCGCCCAAAGGACAGCTGTCTGTAGCACTGTGCCCCGCTGTGGCATGAACTCTCCCTGCCCCTGCCCCAGCCTCGTGCAGCGTATGAAATGTGCGCCCATTTATTTATACACATCGCTGAGCCGCGCCCACCAATCGACAGAAATGAGTTATAAAACTTCAATAATCTCGGCGAAATGTTTATTTATGTTTAGCACGAGAGCCAGCTGAGCACTTGGTTAGGGGTATTCCGCGCGTAGGATGTCGGGGTATGCAAAGAAGCGAACGTGCGCCTGGGGCCTGCCATTACGATATTTGCATCATATACCCAGTGAGTGGGAGGTGGGGGGAACCAGGGGGTGGCGCGAGGAGCACTTACAGCGAATCAATAACAAAATAAATCGTTTTACAACCGCAGGACATTGTATTGTGTTACACAAAAGATTGGCAATGCCACGCCAGCTACCAGCTACCATCTCACCCTCGGGTGAAAGCGAAATACGACGACGAGCACAAGTACGGGCAAACAATGCCAGGCACTTGGCACAGTGAAAACAAGCAATGAAAGGATATTATAGTAAAAGTATTTACAAGATGAAAAGGAACAAAGGCGAAAGGCGCCCACAGCTAGGATGAGCAGCACGAAGGTAAAAGAAAATATAAAGTGAAAGGAAGTAGAAAGTATAAATCGTTGCAATCAATTTTTGCTATGCGCTACGAATTGATAAACTGCCCAAGCAACAGCAGCAGCAACAGCAGCAGCAGGAGCCATCCTTCTGCTGCAGAAGTTGCTGCTGCTCTTGTTGCATCCGCAGCTGTTGGCTGCTGCGTTTTGTTGCAAGGCGATACGCCAGGTGAACTGGTTGGGCTGCCCGGACTGCCTGTCAGCTGCAAGCTCCCATTTGCGTTACCTACATAGCTCGCTTAAAGCTCTCTGATACCCTGCACCCAATTGAGCAGGGGTATAATGGGTTTGTCCAAAATGTTTCTAATAAGTGAAAGCATCTCAGACCTTAGCATCTGCGGCAGGCTTCTTGGCAGTTCTTTATTTTTCTGATAGGTTTTTCAAAACCGATACCAGGTTATGTTGTGTGCAATTTGCTGGAAAATGGGGCGAGGATTTGTCGATACATAAAGTAGGTCGACCTCCATCTCTAGGCAAACAAAATTTGAAAACAATCTAACAATAGGAGAATGGAGAAAGAAAAAGTACTGCACAGTAAGTTTCGTGTGCGTACAGGGTATCTGCAAGTCCATCAAGTACGTCACTAGAGCACTCTCTCTCTCTCTTTGTTTATGTTTTGTTTTTGGCATAAGTGGGCGTGGCCTGCAAATGAAGCAGCAGCTCAGCTTTGGTTACCGAATGCTCTCTGGTCATGCGATACTTTATGGATTGGTGCACATTTAATTTGTTTTGTGGTCCAAATGGAAATGATTGCACTTCTAAAGTTCTGTTTGGCACAGAGTTCGTTAGACAATGCTTAATAGATGCTCATTATATTTTGTAATTTTACAACACTGGTTGCTTAAGCATAGCCCACATATTCGAAATTGAAATAACCGTGCTTCTCACGAAAACTGGAGGTGGCCTCGCCGGGCAGGCAGCCATTCCGGCAGTGGCAGCCTCTAGGATTGCATTTGCCACGGCCGCACCAGGTGCCCTTGATGCCATCCCCATTGCCGCAGACCTTCTTCTCGCACGTCTCTTTGTTGTGGTATTTGCCACCATATGTCTGACAATTGTGCTCCTTTCCATTGTTGGCCAACTTGTAGAGAATCTTTGACGGTCTGCAGCAATCGGCCGTTGCACCTGAGCTGAGGCAGAGTAGCCAAAGGGCCACAGAGAGCGATGCGATCAATGCCAGTTTCATGGTGCTGCGCTTTGCACCTGTGCTAAACTGTTGCCAGATCCGGCCCAATCGCACCTTTATATACAGCTTACGCTCAACGCGTGCTTTGTGTTGTGTCTTATCATTTTACAAGAGGCTTTTTATAATTGTTGCTGATTGCTTTTCGTTCAACTCAATCAATGAGTTCAACTTGACACCCAGCATTAATTGATTACCTGCTGTGTGTAATTGATAAGCTATCTAATTGCTTAGCTCGATTATATTGTCAGCACATACAAAATGCGTAAAACGAAAATTGCACTCGTGTTGAATGAGCACAAGAGATAGAGAAAGTATCTATCGATAACTATCGACAAGCTGTCGTTTCGATAATCAATAAATATAAATGTTTGTTATAGTTCTTTCCTTCATGATTTCTTAGATAATACTCCGACTCTTTGGTATTTTCCAACAAGCAAGCTTTATTGTCTAGGGTAAAGTAAAAGTGTAAAAAAGGGTTTGGCAACCTTCAGCTAAGAACAGGGTATATACCAGTCCTGTATTATTGACAAATGATAGATTGGTCTTCTTTTCGACTATACAAAATGCACATTGCGTACATGGTAGTCGCCGTAGAAGTCCCGCAATATTTGGACTCCATTGCCCATCCGACAGCCGCCCTCACAGTTGCAGCCAAACATGTTGCACGGCCCCTGGCCGCAGTAGGTGCCATCGACGGCGCTTCCATCATCGCAAATGGACATCTTGCATACGCCGCCCTTTGTCAACTTGGAATCGTAGAGACTGCAGTCATCCTCACTGTCGGCCAACTGAAAGGCGATGGTTTTCGAGTGGCAGCATTCGCCGGCACCGGGCACGAACAGCTGGAGCAGTATGCCCAGCAGCAACCAGCTGGCTACTGAGGTGCCAAACCGCATGCTGCATCAGTGAATTATTCAGCGAAGTGCAATAAAATTATGCAAGAGTTAAAATATTGAACGAATGGCCAATTAGCCTTGGTTTATTTGAGGACAGTTGTAAATTTATAAAGTTTTTATACAATTTTATACATTTTAAAAAGATGTTTTTTGACTTGACTGAAAAGTCATATCAAAAAAACTTAAGAGTCAAGACTAGCCGTAGCAGCTATTGCCTTCAGCTAGATATGAGCTTAACTATATTTATATATTTATATTAGCTGAACATTATTCTTAGATTTATTTAGCAGCAACATCAGCAGTTACCCTCTAGTCTACAAAAGAGGACTACTCAATTGAGTTTCTTTTTAGGATTTATTGGTCATTTTTCTTAACAATTAATATAGATGGGAGGAATATCATCATAGCAGAAAATATCTAACTAGATAATTTAAATAAACTGCCCTTAACTATTTTCTGATCGACTTGACAAAAAGTTACATAATCTGCTTAGCTACAAGAAATGCCTTTTTAAGCGATTGTAATTAGTACAGGGTATTTAATTAGCTAACGGAAAGCAATTGGGCGCTATTTCAGTATCAATATTATTATTTTTAGCTAACTTTCCTCAAAGTAGCTGCAGCTACAATAAACGTTTAAGTCAAAAAAATATTGTTGCACAAGTTATGTATACGCCGCATTGGCTTGCACTTGTGCGAAAAATGAAATTTTTATGCAAGATACAACAGACAAAGAGAGAGAGAGTGAAGGGAAGAGTGAGTGAGAGAGAGAGGGAGAGGCAGGGCTGCTGTAGCAGCATTGGGCAAGTAAATATTTTATAATTTAATCAACATAAAAGGAACAAAGGCAATGACAATGGGGCCTGCACGACAAGTGCGACGCCTCTGTGGTTAAGAGTCGGGGCCGACGACACAATAAAATTGGTAACATGGTCGGCAATGGCAAGAACGGAAATGTCAAATACGTTGCGCGATAATGTTTAATGATAAGCGGGCCAACTTGAAATACAGTCGGCAATAGTCGAAGATGTTTATCGTGCGAGCGAGCGGGGCGACAATAAAAGCGAAGACAGCCGCCATGTGGCAGGCAGGCTAAGGCTGAGATGCTGTGCGGGGCGAGGCGGTGCGGGGCTGCACGAGAAGACAGTCTGGCTGCCACTGACAAATGGACCGTGCCCTGACACACGAGGCAACGAGCAGAGGAGGCTGGCTGCCTTGTTGTCATCTAAACAATGGACAAGTTTATATTTGCATTTATTTCTATTAGGCGCACATTTGTCAAAAGCTGTTTATGTGCTGCGCCCAGATGAGATCTTGATCTCTTAGTCGACTTAAACGTGGCTCCTTGGTAAAGGCGTGGGCGTGGCTATACTTTAAGTAACTTTCTGCTTTCTGCTGGCGCAATAAAATATTTATTCGGTATTGTCGTGCACTTTTATTTGACATCATAAACAAAAGCCACGAAAGTGTAAACACAACTTGGCTCAACATGCGTTGGCATTGGCAGGAGATTGTTTATATTGTTGTTATTGTTGTTGTTGTTGTTGTTGTGGCTGCTGCTGCTTCTGCTGCCGTGTTGTTGACTTATTTAAGCCATAAAGTGCTCTCGCACACACATACACACAACCTCACACACTTGCATATTGACACGAGCACGTGTGGGTGTGCCAAATTTAACGCCCCTGTACGCACGTCCATAGACACGGAGACAATGGCAATGGCAAAAAGCAAACAACTCCAATGGCAACCGCTAACAAATAGCATAAAAATGCGTAGCACACTTAACGACTTTTAAATACTCTTACGCCCATTAACAAGTAAGTTCCCTTTGCGCAGCTGCTTTGCTTAATCTTGCTTAATAACAGTGAGATTTGGTATATTAAGAGACTCGGAATTATTTCCAAAGTCATTTTAAATGTCAGTTGGAGATCTTAAAAAAACATTAACAATAAAATACAATTTTAGGCTTGGTTCTTAAAGAAAATCGCTTTGAATGTCGTCTAAAATATATTCAAAAGAGGTTTAGATCGGGTCTAAGAATAATTTATAAGTATATCATTTGTGGATTTAAATAAAAACATGTGTCCCACTTAAAATGTGGATTTAAGGTTCAAATCTTGTTTTGAACTGGCCTAAGTTGGTCTTAAGCCTAGTTTTGTTTTCTATACATAACACAACTTTATTTAGAGCATTCGGAGATCCTTTTGTAAATAGATTATGACAAAGTTTTAAAACAGATTGTAAGCCGGCTCGAAGCTAGCTTAGAAATACATAGCAAAAATATTCCAGTTTTATATATCACAGTTTAATATATCATTTTTATATATCAGAAAAGTCATCAGTTATGAGAGCTATGTCCTATTAACTTTTGGGATATAAATCCCTCCGTTTATGTCTTATATTTATGTTGTTTTCGTCGTTTGAAGCGTTGTAATTCACAGCGAGTTTAAGCGTCGAACGGGTGACAAGGCCATGGCAAATCACGCTGAAGATAGAATCGGTAGGTAATATATTTAAACTACATTTTATGAGCTTTATTCCATTTTGATATTGATTATTATGGAGGACAACCAATCTAGAACCTTAGCCTTGTTTTTGAGCCATGTTTGAGGTCTAACGTTAGAACTTATATATAAATGTATATATAAATATTGAGTAATATTTTTTGATACATGTTTTTAGATTCGATTTATTAAGGTACAAAGGGCTCGACAAAATTACAATGCTCGCTTGCTCGGGCATTAAAAAGGCCCGGCAGCAGTTCAAAATCGCATAAATTTTGTGCTGCTCAAGTGCTTATTTGAGTGTGTGTGTTTGTGTGTGCGAGTGTGTGTAAGTGTGTGTGATTGGGTTGTGCTGCCAGTTGTTGGCATTGCTCTTGACGTGTTTTTGGACTTCATACTGTTGTTGGGCTTCCCTTTGCTTTTCTCTTTTTACATTCTGTTTGGTCGCCAATAGATTCGTTGACCCCGTTGCCTACTTTCGGGCGGAAAATCTTGTTGGCCAAGCGCCTCGGGCGTTACAAGTGGTCGCAGTCTGCGCTGAATTCTGACCAGAAATTATTCATATCGAATACAAATTGTTTTGGCATAATTGTTGATCAACTTTCAGCTGGCAGCTCATTTTGCCGCACAGGAGGCGTGCCCCAAAGCGGGTGTGTCTCAGCCATATATCCGTGTCCCCGACAACAATTTGTATTTATGTCCATCTTATGCATTTTATAGCGTTGCCTAAGTAACGGCCACCCCACCTCGCATATGCCACACGCACTGGCTGAGCGTCTGCCCCAAACCCCACTTCAGGCGCAATTTTTGTTTACGTTTAACGCTGCTGCTGCCGCTGCTGCTGCTGCTGCTGCCGCTGCTGGCGGCGCCCCTTGGACGGCCACCTTCGTCGCTTACGTGCCACGCATATAAATTATTGTATCTCGGGCGTATTAAAAATGTACGAGTGCTCATCTTGTTATCCTGTTGTGTAAGCGGATTATGTCGGGCATAAATGTCATGCGTTGTGCGGCTGTTGAAACCATGACGCAGACCCAGAGGCTCCTTCTTCTTCTTCTTCTTCTTCTGCTTCTCGCCTCGACGACCTTGCTGCTTGTCTTTCACGCTCTCACTCTCTTTCACTCTCTTCTCATACACTCATGCCGTAGGTATTCCTAATTGGTCAGTAAATATGCCGAGCCTTGAAGCAGGCAGTTCTCTTATCTGAACTAGTGGAATCTAAGCTTTTCTTAATAGAAACAGGACATTCTTGGCTTAGAGGAGAGTTTAGCATATCAGAAGCACTTTATTTGAAGTACTATTCACGTTAGCTGCTAATTTTCTGGCTTTGCCTAAACTTTTCATAGACAACTACAAAATGCGTTGAGCATTTTTTCAGCCATGTTCAGAAATTTGTGCTGGGCTTTAGGTGTTTTGGACCAGCTTTAATTATTTTAAAATGCGGTCAAACTTTGTCTTTAATTTATAGAATCTTCTACAATCTGCTCGTTCAGCCAACTTGGCTATGCTAGCACACTTTTATATCAATCGAAACTTTTTGCTAAAGAAATAATTATTTTTGGGTTTCCCCGAACGGCTAAAAATTACGCATGCATCAAAATGTCTGCTTAAATTCAAGCTTGCAAGTTGAAAGCCGTCGTGAATATAATTTTTGATCATCTTAATTCTTATAAAATTAATATATTGTTTAAGACTTTCATGAAATGTGGAATTGAAACATTTTTTTAATAAGAAAAAAAAAAATTGCTAAGTTTTCATGAATTGCAATATTGCTTGAATACATTCAATGGAACTACCATTAATTAAACAGAGTTAATAATTAGAATAGCTCAATAAGACTAGATTGATATGTTATTAACTTAAATCTTGGACTCAAAGTATGTTAGTATAAGATGTTTGCTCTACCAAATAAGTGTATTCAATCTTCGGCACTTGGTGTACATCGGCGCAGTCGTATATTTCTTTGCTTTTGTGTGTCGCAGCGATTTGTGTGGAACTGTTTTTCTGCCATTTCATATTAAGCATTACGCAGCGTCATGAACGTGTCGTTCGCTTGCCACGCCCACCAGGCAGCGTGCCGCCCCATTCGGGCCTCACTGGCCATTGACAATATTTGGATTTTACTTTTATTGAAATTTAAAACCGCTTCGGTCGTCGGCAACAATCGACGGCCGCCAATGGCACACAATTTGCACATAACTTGCGCTTAAAATTGTTAACCGATCGAAGGGGGATTGAAAGGAGGGTGGGGTTGGGGTGGGGCGGGGTATGGAAGCGGTGACAAGGGGACAGGGGGACAGGGATAAACTCAGCAACTGCAGTCGTTAATGCCAGTTTCCGATTTCATTTCAGCATTTTTAGTCGCATTTTGCGCGAGTGCATGCAAATATTACTGAGTGGGTTTTTCTGCGAGCCGAATGTTTGCATTAGCCCCGAAAATTTTATTGGATGCGAAATTGCAAACGCGGCTGCAACAACTGTTGTTGTTGCGGCCGCTTATCGCCAATGCCAATGTGGCAACCATTTTGTAGCATGCACCATGTGAGCTGAAAGTAATGCAATCGCTGATATGTTAAGCCAAGTGCCCGCATAAGTATATCTAGGTTTAATTCGAATATCGGCAAACATAAACAGAGCACAATCA